AAATTTGCAAATCACAAAGTATGATCTCCCTGCCTTTTTTATGGTGCAAATCTTCCTGGAGAATCAGGGGAGGAAAGGGAGGAACAAGATAATATAGCATGCAACAAAGAAATGAGTTATATTAAGAGTTGTTGATTAACTCTCATCTTCTTCTTATAGACCCCATCAATGATCAAACCTGTGTTTGGAAACAGAAATACAGATGAGAAGAAAGAAAAACCTGACACCAATAACGAGGAAAAAACACTTTCCACAAACACATCCTCCTCTTCTAAGATTCCTCTGAAAACAAATCAAATAAGAACATGTTCAGAGAAGAAAGCGGTGAATTCTGACACCATGGAAAACGCAGGTTCAGTTGAGGAATCTGTTCAAAGCCTGATCTCACCCAAGACACTTCTGAATGGTACAAATACACCACTGTGGGGACGCAGCAGGAGGTTGGTAACCTCAGGCTCTGATCTGTCTTCGTCAGTCATGAGGAACATGTCTTCACCACACAGTAACGGCAACAAAACCCTTGTCCTGTGTTCTACAACTCTGGGCTGCCTGTCTAATCTACCTCACAACAACCAGCTCTCAAAAACCGGAGGAACAGTGGCTCATGTGGAGGAGGAAGAATTTACAGTGGAAACAGAGGAGAGGTGTGGTTCATATGATGATGTGGTGTTTGAGGGTGATGATGTAACTGATGGAGAACGTATCTCCGATTTTGATAGCGGATGTTATGTGTGGGAAGAATCTGACAATTCATCGGATTTAACAGAGGGTCAGGTCACATTAAGGGACAATACAAGTGCTGAAAACTCCTCTAAAACCACTCACTTATCCACAATGTCTACAGAGAACATGAGAGTGGATCAGTTGCCAGATGCATGTTTTGCTGTGCCTAAGACCGTTACTTGGTATTCCAAAAACAAATCGGCACAAATCAACTCTCTACAATTCCAAAAGAAGTCAGACAAAGCCCCAAATGAAACAAACACGCCCACTTCACTCAGACACAAAGCTTTCATCCCAGGAAAGACCTCCACACCTAATACCTCATTTGTCAAACCAAGACCAGTCATCATGCAAAACAGAACTTGTAAAGAGACGCCTAGATTCTCTTTCAGCATCTACACTGACCCAGTTAAACAGGCTGCAGCATCCCGTCCTTCCACATGCAGCTCGCTGTTCACCCCCAAAAACGTCCTCCGCTCTTTGTCAGCGAATACACACTCATCATCCACCAACCTCTCCTCAGTGTCTGCGACAATTAAAAAAGGACAGAAGATCACATCCCCACTGTGTGCGTGCGGCCGCCGTGCCAAGCGGCAGGTTGTGTCCAACGGTGGTCCAAACCACGGCCGAGGGTTTTACTGCTGTCCGGTCCGTCGCTCAGGCAGCGGAGGCAGGATCCAGAAGGGATGCGAGTTCTTCAAATGGGAGTCGTCTCTGATGAAGAGCAGTTCAGTGGCCTCTCCTGCTGCCGGGGCCTCAGTTTCACTCAGCTCCACTCTGAACTGTCCACCACAACAGAGGTCAACCGTAAGAATAAGCTATTAATGAGTTGGAGAAACAGCCGCTCCATCATCATACTGACATTGAGATATTTTATATATAATATATAATTATCCATTCCCACAGAGATGGTACCCGAATGACGTTTTTCTGTGTCGCCTCTATAACTTCTCCAAAAAACCTCTTAC